GCTGCCATGAGTTGCCGGTGATGGCAAAGGCTGTAGCCCCTGCTGCAGTGGGCTGCCATAAGCTACTGTGTGTGGCCGGTAGCCAGCATGAGCGGCCAGCAGCCAGTGTGAGTGGCTGGCAGCCGGTGTGAGCTGCCATGAGCGGCCGTCCAGGGGCCAGCGACTGATCTGCTTCACAGGGGAAGAGCGCGATGATAATACCAACATGGGCCAGTGAAGCGACGTCCCCCACAACTACACTGAAGAACAAAAGGACAGCAACCTGTCTGTTCCCGTTCCCCTATTCCCCAACGCTGTTCCCTCCCCCAAGTCCCCAATAAAATCTTTAAAAAAACCCAAAAAACCATGGTTTAGAAAATCTTGGACTACTATACTAGGCAACTTGCTCATTATAAATCTTTACAATATTTTTATCTTTGTGGCCACCCTTCCAAATTCATACTCGGTTACATTTCCCCCAGATTGAAAGCAGGCCTGACAGCCGTTGCCAAATGAGTGGGGTTGTCTTTTGTTTGTTTTCTTTTTAATTATATTTCCAAAGTGCCATGTGTCTCCTTGCCTCTGGGTGTCCCTGCGCAGTTTCCGTCATATTAATGCCCTCCTGTTTGTGCTGACACCCTTGTTGATGGTTCTCATATTCAGAAAGGGTTTGGAGTAAGAGGACAAGCTACAACAACCATAAAGCCACAGGGCCCTTTAGGAAGAGTGACCCATGACTGGACCAAGACTCGTGAAGACCCCTAAGACTGCCCACATGTACAATGTGTGGACACGTGGGAAATGCTGCGCCATGTGCATGTGGCCGGACGGGGCAGCCCGTGGAAAGAAGGCAGGAGTACACACAGGAAAACTTGGCTCTCGACCTGAGCTGCCCCAAACTGATTGAATGACCACTAAAATGGACAAGTCACTAAAATCAACAGAAAGACAAAGTCTAAAATGGGAATCCAAAGATAAGACTTGAAGTCCACCAAAATTCAATAGAAGTCAATGAAGTGTAGAAGAAAGAACCAATCAATTGGGAAACCAAAGAAGAGGATTCTCTCCCCAACTCTGCCAAACTCTGTCTTTCCAGTCCTGGGTATTTGGGGTTCCACCTCTGAACCTCAGTTTCCTCAGCAACTCAATGACTTAGTAGACTTGATGGCATCATTTTAATGCTTTGTGTAGTGAATGGCTTTAGCGTATGACCTCCATAGCCAGACTGCCTAGCTTCCAGTCCTGCTGCACCCTTACTGGCCCGGGACTGCAATGCCTCATGGTGGAGCACTGCTATTTAGTCAGCTGCTCTTCTCACAATAGCAATGGGATCATTAGCCAGGCCCTTCTCAGAGAAGACATCTTGAGGGCAAGAGCCACAGAAAAGGGGAAGGGTGATGGGCTAGGACAAGCCATCTTAAAGAGGAGCTTAGAAGAGAGTCCGTCAGGAAGGGTTGGCCTCCAAAAGGGAGAGCAGAGACCCACAATGACAGGGGGGGACTTTGATGAGGAGGAAGACGGGGAAATCTCCTCTTTCCCTTCTTGGTTGGGCCAGGCCGCTAGTATAAAAAGGTTAGGAAAACTATCATAAAACATTACACAGTTTCTTATTCCTGGAATAACTGCCTGTCCGTAGGACATGTTCATACCTTAGTGGTCCACTCGTAAAAACTTCTGCGACATTCTGATAGTCCACTATCCAGTAGTCGGAGGATCTCACTCTCCTGATTTCGTGTTTTGATGTCGGATTCATTTCCCACATCCCTAAGCATCCTATAGCGGCTGAGAATGAAAGAGTTATCATGGTATTGCATCCTTCCCGCTCTTTCCAGAAAGAGACAACTGTTAAATTTTGGGTTTTAAAAAAAGTAGTAAAACCATGTCTTTAAAATTATGCATGATGGGAGAAATAGGCTTCTTTTTTTCCCCTCTCTCTCTCTATTCTATTCTTTTCTTTTCTTTTCTATTCTTCAGAAGAGAGAACTAGAACCCAGAGAGGTTAAGTCACCACTCCAACACAGTCAGAAAATGCCCAGCTGAGAAGAAAGCTGATTCCCATCTGACTCCTGGCCACACCACTTCACTATGATGGCTAATTTTATTTGCTAATTGACTGACCACGGGGTGCCCAGATTAAACATTATTCTGGGTGTGTCTGTGAGAGTGTTTCCAGGTGAGGCTGACATGTGAATCCCTGGACCAGTAAAGCAGATTGCCCTCTCCAGTGTTATAGATATAGATATAGATATATAAATTATATATAGATAAATGTCCCTATTGTTCTGTTTCTCTAGAGACCCTGACTAATACACTCATTCTCTCCATTCTGGAAACCCGTAAGATACAGTCAAGTTTTACTTACCTCTCCCAACTCCAGAAGAAAGGGTGATCCAGCAGGCCACTCAGATGGTCCTTCACATTTTCCCCAGGGCAGAAGAGGTGATGAATGAGGTTCTGAATTTCCTCATTTGGAGAACGTTGAATCACCTCTTCATCGCTTTTAGTCTTCAGCGTCTCAAAAAGGATGTCTCCCCCCTTTATCACATATAGGACCAGCAATCCAAGGGCCTGCACAAGAGCCACCAGTCAAGCTGAAGGTGCTTACGAATTATCACTCTATTTGGGTAACCTTGGAGTGTGTGGTGCAGGCTAGGGGCAATGGAAAATGGGCGGGATCTCAAGAAGCCCACAGGCTGGTTAAGGAGAGAAGACACAGGTCTGTGCGTAGAGAACTCTTCAAGGCAGTATATGGCTCCCACAATTTAGGTTTGGAAGGGGCAAAGAAGAATGTTTTAAACAAGTGGAAGGCCAACAGCAGAGGCCAGGTGCTGTGTCTTCTCGGGAGAACTAGTTATTTCAGGACCTTCACCTTTTTGGCCAAGGGTAGCCTCTTTAGAGCTATGGATGGACCCCACCCCTCCCAGGTGCTTCAGAGGGCCTTTGTGTTTGGCCATTTTTGGAGTTTGAATGATGTGAGAAAAGAAATCCCATTTACTTTGTCCTTAGTCAGTGAATTCCTCCTGCAGGAATTTTGTCATGGTTTTAGAGAATCCTCCTGGAGGTACTTTGAGAAAAGGTGTGGAATGCTTAATTTATTTGCATTATTAGTTTATTTAGCTTATTAGCTTATTATTTGCATTTTTAGCTTATAGAGGTATTGGAGAAAGAGCGATCCAAAGAGACACAGAAAGAGATCACGGCAACCACCAGCTCCACACCCAGCCAGGGAAATTCCACTGTCCGCGGGGAAGTGAGGGCAGTGACCACTGGGAACACCTTGGAAGTTCTTTCCTCCCAGGTTGAAGTAGGAACATCCTCTAATTGGCCACAAGAAATCAGGTAATGAACAAAAAAGGAAGCGGAAAGATGGAAAAATAAACCGACTATTGAAATTACCTTTAGATCACTCTTGATTTCCTCTGGCTCTCCAGCCCACTTGATGCTTTTATCAAAATCTGCCAGGCGAACAGCGTTATTGGAATCTAAGGGATAGTTTGCAGAGGTGTGTTGAAAATCCTCATTCTCCATGTTGTGAGTAACTCATTTAAATAATGTAATACAATGTGCAACCCATCATCTCTACATAAGGCAATAATAAAGCTCATATCTGCGTTGCTGTTTACTCCTCAAAACACTGGCCTATGTGTCATTTGATCTGTGAGGCATCTGCCAACAGCAGGTCTTACATTTTACTTCTTCCAGGCCAGGGGGTGGGGAAGGATAAGAATAAATTTAACCAGCATCCATTCATGCAATTCTGGAGGCAAAGAACACAGACTTGTAACGGAGCTGTTGGCAGAGTTAAGATTACATCCTATGACTAACCAACCAACAAGGCTCCAAACCCAACCTGCCTTACATAGCGCTCCACCAAATCCAGCCCACATGCCACAACCCATGACAACATCATAATCGGTTATCGTGGATCAACCATGTGCTTGCTGGCCCCCTTCAGAATCTTTCTTCCTTGAAGGAGGCCCCTGAGTCCTCAGAAAGAGGGATGCGTGGCTGAGAACGGCCAGGAACACGGCAACAGGAAGGCAAGTCAGTGATTCCTGCTTCTGGCTTGGAGTAGTCTGAGAAGGAGGGCTGGGGAGCCCCAGGTAGGATGACGGCCACAATAACTGTGTGCTTCTTGAACCCCTTTTACTCTGAGCTTCAATGTTGTGTGAAAATCCAGAGTTGAACAAAAATGAACCCATCGAGTTATTCACCAAGTGCTGAGTGAGGGGAGAAGGGAAACACAGTTCAGAGTCTCTGGGTGAGGTGCTCAATACTGAACAAATAATTACACAGATAAACATGAAATTAATTGTAATTTTGAAAATGCTAGCCCAATGTGCAGAGTGCTCTGAAAATGTATTACAAGAAAAACTACAGGGCTGTTTGGGGAGCGAGGGGAAGAAGACACAGGCAGAAAAGACGAGTGGAGTCTGGGTGGGTGAGCAGAGTGGGGAAGAGAGGGTGGATTCTCTCTTCCTAGGAATTCCAGAGACTGAAAGGAACCTGGAGAATTCCACTGTGACAGAAAGAAGAGGGATGAAGGCAGAAAGGGGCCGGTAATGAGGTTGAAGGGGCAGATGGGAAGCAGATCATAAACCACACACTGTTTCCAGTCATTTGAACTGATAAATTCCCTTCACTTGTTTAAGCCGCTTTGAGTGGAGTTTTCTGCTACTTAAATGTGAAACTGCCTAACGGAACACTTCACATCTCTTCCAGCACTTGATTTTTTTTTTTTTTTTTAGATTCAACGGATATTGTTAAAGAGCTATAAAAAATGTAAATGCTTACACTTAGTTTCTGTGCTTATATAATCACCAACTATTAACAAACAATTGATGGGCAGAGTTAGGATGAAATCTGCCCATGCCCCCCCCACCTCCCCACCCCCGCCAGTGAATCAAGAACCTCAGTTCTCTTTTCTTCCGCTCTGCTCTTCATCCTCACGAGAGTGATATCACCTAACATTAATATTTTTTTCATATTTATTTTTAAGAAAACAACACGTGTTTAGGTTACTTTAAAAATTAATTCTTTCTCTGTTCATTCTTGCTCCTTAGAAGTCATTGTTCCTCCCAGACCCATTCTCTCCTTCCTGACGCGTATCCTTCAGCAGTTCTTCCATGAAGGGTCTGTGGTTAGAAAGTTTTCCTGAATCCTTGACTGCTTAACAAATGTGTTTATTTTGAATCACATGTGAGCAATAATAATTTGGCTGCTGTCTTGGTCAGCTCTGGCTGCTATAACAAATTCCCATAGACTGGATGGCTCAAAGGACAGAAATCTATTTCTCACAGTTCTGGGTGTGGGAAGTCCAAGATTAGGGTGTCAGCAGGGTTGGGTTCTTGGTGAGGGCATCTCCTGGGTTTACAGATAACCATCTTCTTGCTGTGGCCTACATGGTGGAAAGATAGCTAGCTAGCTCTACTCGTATGACATCTTTGTACAAGGGCACTAATCCCACCAGAGCAATCTGAGAAGCGAGCAAAGCTGAAGGATCAAACTTCCTGATTTCAAACTATATTACAAAGCTATAGTATTCAAAGCAATACGATACCAGCCTGAAACCAGACACATAAGCCAAAGGAACAGAAATTGAGAGCCCAGAAATAAACCTACACATATACGGGTCAATTAATATTTGACAAGAGAGCCCAAAATACTCAATGGGGAACAGATAGTCTCTTTAAAAACTAATGTTGGGAAAACTGGATTGTCACATGCAAAAGAATGACAGTACCACCATCTTACACTACTCACAAAAATTAATTCAAAGTGGATTAAAGACATAAATGTAAGACCTAAAACCACCGTCTTCCAGAAGAATACAATAAAAGATCATTGACATTGTTCTTAGCAATGATATTTGTGTTGGATATGATACCAAAAGCACAAGCAACAAAAGCAAAAATAAACCAATGGGACTACATCAAACTAAAAAGCTTCTGCATGGCAAAAGAAATGATCAATAAGATGAAAAGGCAACCTACAGAATGGGAGAAAATATTTGCAAATCATGTATCTGATATGGGGTTAATATTGAAATATAAAACAATGTATACAACTCAATAACAACAACAACAAAATACTCTAATTAAAAATTGAAAATGGCTAACAGGTACATGAAAAGGTGCTCAACATCATTAATCATCAGGGAAATGCAAATCAAAACTACAATGTGATTTTACCTCATACCTGTTAAAAGGGCTATCATAAAAAAGACAAGCAATGGGGTGGCTGGGTGACTCAGTTGGTTAGAGTGTGAGCTCTGAGCAACAGTGTTGCCAGTTCGATTGCCACATGGACCAGTGAGCAGCGCCCTCTGCAACTAGATTGAAGACAACAACTTGAGCTGAGCTGCCACTGAGCTGCCGACCGGCAGCCTAATGGCTCAGTTGGTTAGATGTATGTGTTCTTAACAAGGTTGCCAGTTCTACTGCCTCATGGGATGGTTGGCTGCGACCCCCGCAACTAGATTGAAAATGGTGACTGGACTTGGAGCTAAGCTGCACCCTCCACAACTAAGACTGAAGGACAATAACTTGACTTGGAGCTGATAGGTCCTGGGAAAGACACAATATTCCCCATAAAGTTAAAAAAAAAAAGACAAGTGCTGGTGAGGATGTGGAGAAAAGGGAACCCTTGTGCACAATTGGTGGGAGTGTAAATTTGTGCAGCCACTGTATAGAAAAGAGTATAGAATCTCAAAAAATTAAAAATGAATCCCACTTCTAGGTATATATCTGAAAAAAATGAAATCACTATCTTGAAGAGATATCTGTACCCCCAGATTCATTGAAGCATTATTTACAATAATCAAGATATGGAAACAAGCTAAGTGTCTGTCAACAGCTGAATAGAATATATCTATGCGAATATATATATATATATATATATATATATATATATATACACAAAAGTGTATACACATTTTAAGGAAGGAAAAAACTGTATTAAAATTACGCTGATGGTAACCAATTTGAGCACCTCTTATAATTGCAGATGTCAAACGTGACTTGTGTTCATCTTTTGATATCGGTATACAAGATTTGACTATTATGATTTTAACACAGTTTTTCCCTTTCTTAAAATGTATGTACATTTTTTTGGCACCCGCTATATATATAATGGAGTAGTATTCAGCCATAAAAGAGAAGGAGGGCCGGCCGAGTGGCGCGATGGTTAAGAACTCGCTTGGGATGCCAGAGGGCCCCGGTTCGGATCCCACATATGAGGGCTAGTGACACTGCCCTCCACAGCTAAGATGCTGAACAACAGCTCAACCTGGAGCTGGGCTGCTGTGAGTCGCCGGCGACGGCGTAGGCTGCACTCCCTGTGGCAGTGGGTTGCCATGGGCTACCGTATGTAGCCAGCAGCCAGCGTGAGCGGCCAGCAGCCGCAGTGAGCGGCCGTCCAGAAGCCAGCGACTGATCTGCCTCGCCAGAGAAGAGCGCAATGATGGTGCCAACTTGGGCCAGTGAAGCAACAACCTCCACAACTAGATTGAAGAACAAAACGACAGCAACTTGTCTGTTCCCCTTCCCCCAATTCCCCAGCACTGTTCCCATCCCCCCAATTCCCCAATTAAAAAAAAAATCTTTAAAAAAAAAGAGAAGGAAATCCTGCCGTTTATGACAACATAGATGAACCTTGAAGGCGTTGTGATAAATATAGTAAGACAAAGATGAGTACTATATGATCTCACTTATATGTGGAATCTAAAAAGACTGAACTCATAGAAACAAAGAGTCGATTGGTGGTTGCCAGTGCCAGGGAGTGTGGGAAATGGCCGAAGGCGGTCAAAGGGCACAGGCTTCCAGTTATAAGTGAATAAGTTCTGCGGATCTAATGTACGACATGGTGACTGTGATTAACTATACTGTATTGTATACTTGAAAGTTGCTAAGAGGCTAGAACTGAAAAGTTAACACACACACACACACACACACACACACAAAATGGTAACTGTGAGGTGATGGATATATTAACTAACCATATTGTGGTAATCATTTCACAATATTTATAAATATAAATAGTCACATTGTACACCTTAAACTTACACAATGTTGTGTCAATTTCATCTCTCTAAATCTGGGGAGAGAAATGATTTCTGATTGTGAAAAAAGGCACTAATTCCATTCATAGGGCCCCACCCTCTTGACCTAATTACCTCCCAAAGTCCTGACCTCCAAACGCCATCACATTGGGATTAGAGTTTCAACATATACATTTGTGGGGAGCACAAATATTCATTCCATTGCAGCTGTTAAACAGGTTCTTTCTCTTCAGCTCTTTCTTTTGGTATCCAGTATGCTAAAGAGAAAAGTCTTATGCCAATAGAAATCTGGTTTCTATGTAGGTAACTTGTTTTTTCTTGGTTGCTTTTGAGTTTTTCTCTTTTTTCCCTTAATGTTTTGAAATACCTTTAAGATGTGATTCAGTAGGTTCTTTTTTTTCCTTATTTATCGTCAGCTCTTAGTGACTCTTTCTGATACAAGAACTATATCTCTCTTTAGTCCTGGGACATTCTCAGCTACTTTTTTCAAATATTGCTTCAACCTCATTCTCTGTCTTCTCTCCATCTGAATGCCTATTAGAACTTCTGGATCTAATTCATGACTCTATTTTGTTTTTGTTTTTTTTAATGCTTTCCATCCCTTTATGCTTTTGTTATCTCCTAAGAGAATTTCTCAGGCAAATCTTCTACTTTATTAATTTAATGTTCGATCCTGCCTTAAAATCTTAAAATTTAAACAGTTATATTTTTTATTTCCAAATTCTTTATTTGGTTCTTTGGACAATGCTTCTCCTTGCTTCTTGGATAAAATAATATTTGTTTTCTGGTTCTACTAATTATACTTACTTTAAAGTTGTGTTTTGGTTACTCAATGTGGCAGACTAAATAAATACCCATGTCCTCATCCTGGAATCTGTGAATGTATCTTTTTCTTTCATTTTTAATAAACTTTATGGGGGAACAGTGTGTTTTTCCGGGACCAATCAGCTCTAAGTCAAGTCATTGTTTTCAATCTAGTTGTGGAGGGCACAGCTCACTGGCACATGTGGGAATTGAACCAGCAACCTTGGTGTTATGAGCCCGCACTCTAACCATCTGAACCAACCAGCCATCCAGAATGTTACTTTATATAACAAAAAAGGGGACTTTGCAGATGTTATTAAGTTAAGAATCCTGAGGTGGGAGAGATTATCCAGGGTTATCAGGATGAGTCCTAATCGCAGTCACATGTATCCTTATACAAGGGAAGCAGAGGGGGACTTGATGACACAAGAGAAGGCAGTATAACTATAGAGGCAGAGGTTGGAGTGATGCCTCCACAAGCCAAGGAGTGCTAGCAGCCACCCGAAGCTGGAAGGGAAAAGGAACAGAGCCTCTCCTATCGGTGCCAGAGGGAATTTGGCCCTGCTGACACCTGATTTGGGGCCAGTGGAACTGATTTCATACTGCTGGTCTCCAGAGCTGTGGGAGAATAACCTTCTGTTGTTTCAATCCACCAAGTTTATGATCAGCAGCCATAGGAAACTAACACACTCAGATCCCAGCTGTATTTCTATGTATATCTACTTCTCGCCTCTAGGACCTTAAATACTGTTCTCTGCCTCTCCAAGACACCTGAACGCTCTTTTTGCCCTGTTCTCTGACACTGAGCCTAAACCTCAGTGCATATCTGTAGGTGAGGTGTCGGCTTCCGCTTAGCCCTTTAGACCTTTGTTGTCACTGGTGACGTACAGCTGAATCTGTTTGACGCACTGCACTTAGACCTCATAACCATATGATGGAGATATTATCAGGCTCAAATGAAGAAACCAAAGTTCACAGAATTAAATGACTTGTTTGAGGTTATAAAGCTACAAAGTAGCAGGACTAGGCTGCAAATGTCCCCAAAAGTACCAAAAGCCAAGGCACTTTCTACTCTACCACACTGCCTCCTGGGACTAGGCTCAGCTCCGCTGGTTTCCTTTAGTGTTGCTTTCATTTATTTTGGTTTTGGTTTGGACCAGTAGACACTGACTTGTCCTGCCTGCTCGGGGTCTGTTTCACTGTGCCGCATCTTGTCCTGCCATCCCCAATTTTGATCTCAGCTGTACCATTAAGTTTCACAGTAACTGCCACCTTGTCTGAAGGAACACTCCTTCAGGATTCTCTGACTTGAAGGCTACTCTAGGAATCCAAATTTCTGGAGCTGGCTTCATCTAAGACATACCTTCATATTTGGATTTGCCAAGGGCAATACAAGATTAGCTGGTATTCCATTAGTGTCCACGACCTCTGTGTGGGGTAACGGTTCTAACTAGTAGTGGGAGAGACTGCACTGTAATTGAGAACTTGTTGCGTTAACCCTTAAACTGACTAACCCACATCTACTCTATTCCTTTCCTATCTGCAATGAAAATTCTTTCCCTTTGTAGATAAAGGCTCCACAATTTCTAAGAGATGATTGGGGACTTACCTATTAAGATGTTCTGTGGCTGCAGATCCTGGTGAGTGTATCCACACCTCAGGTGGAGCTCTTCAACAGCCTTAAATATAGATAAGAGGGTGTTTTGGGCAAACTTATCTTCCTCTTTTCCCACCGCCTCCTCTCTGGGCTCAGCCAAGTGCTTCTCCAGCGTCTGCTCACAGAGGGACATGCACACATACAGACAGCCCCCGTGGGTCTCACTGCCATAGAATGTCACCAGGTCACTGTTCGCTCGGATGCTCTGGAGACAGGACACTTCCTTTTGTCCACATGGGCTATCTTCCGAGAATCGCTTCACAGCTACCTCTTGGCCATCATAGAAGCCGAGGTAGATGCCCCCTTCTGACGTGTCAGCAATTTTATATTCTTCATCAATAAAGATCTTGAGTTTGCCTATCATAGGGCGATACATGTTGTGGAGGTGTTTCAGGGCCTGCCCCCAATGTAAGCTCTGAGGTTCCCAGTCTTCAGTGGGAGGGTGAAAATCTTCTCTGGCTCCATGATCAAGAAGAAACTCAGAAAGAGCATTGTCATAATTGCGCTTTGCTATCCTAATAAGATCTCCACAATCCGTGCTGGCTCCATTTTGACACAGTAACCGGACAATTTCTGTCTGTTGGAGTTCGACAGCCAACAAGAGTGCTGTTTTGCCCTCTCTGTCTGTCTCATCAATCTCTATATCTTCTTGTTCTAGAAGCATCTTTACCAAACCGATGTGCTTCTTTTCCACTGCCAGAATCAGGGGCGTCTTCCCTTTTTCTCCCCTCACATTGACATCAGCCCCGCGGTCCAGCAGAAGGCGAGTGATGGCCTCTATCTTGCTGTCATCAGCGTTCCGAAGAGCACGGATCAAAGCATTTCGGCCCATGTTGTCCCTGGCTTTGACATCGGCCCCCATCTCGTCAAGGAGGATCTTCACGACATCTACATGTCCCTTTTCAGCAGCATCCATGAGAGCTGTGGCCCCTCCTTTCCTGAGCCTCTCTTGATCCTCCATTGTCTTTCGGCCCAAATTTACCTGTGCTCCATTCTCATATAGGAATCTCAAGGCTTCCACCTTACCATAGCAAGCAGCTTCCATGAAAGCTGTAAAGCCGTGCTTGTCAGACTCGTTGATATCTGCGCCTTTAGAAAGGAAAAGCTCGAGCAGCTTCACATTTCCCACGATCCCAGCGACGATGAAGGGAGTGGCCCCATTCCTCTTCCTGAGACAAGGGTCAGCACCATAACCAAGCAGAAGGTCCACAGTGTCCTCCCTGCCACTTCGTACTGCAGTAAGCAGAGGCGTCCAGCCCCATTTCTTTTCCTGGACATTGACGTCAGCCCCTCTTTCTAGCAATTCCTTGACCAGCTCAATGTTTCTACCTTCAACAGCTTGTATCAATGAACGGTTACCCTCCGCTGAAGTCTTTCCATTGTTGGAGCGTGTGGGTCTCTCCTGGGGGTGAGTATGGCTCTTGGTATCCATGATGGTAAATACCACTGGTTAGACCTTTTTGCCTTTCTTTGAGAAAATGAAAATGTATTCCCTTGGGACTTGATCAAAGCCTCACGGAACTCTAGAAACTCCTGTCATGGAAAATAGGGATTATCTTGCTACAGGTCAGCAGTATGAAGAAGGACAATACCCTTGGAGTCTTCTGACAATTTACCTGGAGACAAAAAAGGTACTTTGTAATTTTAGAATAGTGAGAAAACATTTGACTTGGAGAAATCAATTTTACTAGCAACTTTCTGAAAAACATCTGCTTATTTATTACAGAACTTTTTTATTACAGAATGTTGCTGAATATATATAAATTAAAAATAAGAAAATTATTACTTTATAATCCTGCTGCCCAGAAACAGACATTGCTAGGATTTTAGTACACTCTATAGATTTCAAAAAAAAAATAGTTGGCATCATGCTGTATAACTTTGTATACTTCTTCCTTTTCTGTGATGCCATCCTATAAATAATATCCTGTTATTACAAACACCTTTAAAAAGTGTTTAATGGCTGTGTAAAATCCTATCATACAGTTGTTTCATTTCCCTATTACTGAGCAGTTTTTAGGAATAATTTTTAAACAAGACTTTTTAAATAAGAATTTTTACACAACTCCTAATAACATTGTGACAGGTTTATCTTATTTTAGCTTGTTTTCTTATGCAAGATCTTACAATTGATTTCTTATCATAGATTGCAAAGATTTGAATGGCTGGTCAAGGGATATGATTGCTTTTAGGATTCTCAACCTATATTAATAAATTTCTTTCAATGTGATTTAGACACAGTCTGACTAGAAGTAACCTCTTAAAAGAAAAGAAAAAAAAAGCCAGAACCCTCGTTTAATGAGAAAAAAATGTAGCTTTGTCAATTCGCGTTTCTTATACCACAGGAAGGTTGATCACGCAAGTGCGCTTCACTGGCTCCGTGCACATCTCCTTTGTGCACTGTGCGCTCCTACTCAAAGTAGTTCACAGTAGTGAAAAAGCATAGGATAGAGTAGTAAAAGAGTGTAGACTCGACCTCGGCAAGACCTAAGTTTGAGCCCCAGGTTGTGTAACTTCAGACCATTACTTCCGAATTGTCTAACCTTAGCTTGTTGACTCTCAACTTTCTGTTTCCTCAAATGGAGACAAAACAATAAACATGGTTGCCTGTATAAAGTGCATTAAAGTAGGGGGTGTGGCAAAGATTAGGCATTCAACGAATGGTAGAACTAATTATGTCCCTTTAAGAGAAAAGAAACATTAAGGAATTCTAAATTCTCCCCACCCATGTGCATAGACATACTCCACAAACAGGAAACCTGGCGGTATCAATTTAGTCCCGCTACCCTCAGTCATTTCTGAGCAGTTTAGATCTAATTCAAGCATCAGACAGCACCTAACCACTACCTGAAAATTTACATAACTTCACCTGCTGCAAAATTCGCAAAGCAACCACTTTTCAGCATGTTACTGCTCTGTCTCAAAGCCCCCAGCCTCTGAGAGGTCGAATCAATTCTGCTACATCAGCACAGTCACCAGCAGTGAAATCTTTGAACCAAATTTTTGTGTAGACAGTTCCTGTTACAGCGGCCGTGAGATGGGCCAGTCTGAATAAAGGAGCAGAGAAGGAAAGAAAAGCAAAAAACTCTGAGTGGAACACCAGAGGAGAGAAGAAAGACATGCCAGCCGAAGCACTGCAAGAAATCATCCTGGTTTCAGTTTCGTTTTCCCCATGAAACCAGAGGTAACTGAAACAGAGATGACTTGAATAAACACAGGATAGATTGTGGCAGAACCATGGGGTTCTCGGAGGGCTCAGGAATAAAGGACCCTGGGGTGGCTCTGCCTCTCCTTCCACTCCACAAACGCCACACCCCCGTTCACCTCCAGTCCCCAAAGCCCAAGGAACCCTTCCTTCAAAGAAAGCAGCTCCTCAAAACGACTTCCCCCGCTCTCCTCCTCCTGCCCCGTCTTACCTGCTAAAACTCAGACGCCTCCTCTGTTAACTTCCCTCAGCAACTCAGCTTCAAATACTGTTGCCAGCAGAGAAACATTTCCTTCTGGCAAGGTCACTGAGCCAGGAGGTGGAGTCAAGAAAGGAGTGACAGAGGAGCTAAAGAAGGGCAAGGGGGACACGCCTACACTCGTGCTAGCAGCCTGGGCAGGCAGCACTTTCAAGCCCTCTTCTAACTGCTGGTGACTGATCTGATGTCCATGATCATCTGCTGACCTTTCAGCCTTTCAGGTGGCAGCAGCCAGCTCCATCCTTACCATGTTATTCCAACTTCCCCTATCTTCTGGAGGGAAATGAATGAAAATTACCATACACTGGGCACAGACTGGGTGCCTGGTACTATGCTCATTGCTTCACGAGTGACATGGAAATGGAGAAAGAGCAGGAACAGTTTACAGGCAGGCGATGGTCTCTGTTTGGGACATGTTCAAGATTTGTGTGTCTGAAGCTCACACAATTGCTGATGATGAAACTGAGGCTCAGAGAAGCTAAGTCAACCCAAAGTCTGAGCTCCCTCACTCATCTGGGCACACTCGACTTGCTGTCCTCAAATGGGCACTGGCTTGGCATTCTGGAGACCTGATTCTGCAGCCAGAGCTGTGGCTAATTTAGCTGAGTGACCTCAGGTGGGCGGTTTAACAATGTTGGGCCTCAGTTTTCTCATGCAATATGATTTCTAAGGCTCCTTTCTTAGCTCTGAGCTGCATACTGTGTACTGAATGCTACCGAGGGAAATATTCCTGGCTTCACAAGATATCCAGCCAGTCTCTCTGGGGGACAAAGTCCAGATAAGGCCATGAATAGCGAGTGGTACATGGTCACATGATGTTCACCAGTGTCATGCCATCCAAACTCTGGGCCTTTACTGCCCCTCACGCCCCGGTGACACCCAAGCCTCTTTCTCTAGCCCTAGCCTCTCTGCTGAGCTTCAGACACACAAATCTTGAACATGTCCCAAACAGAGACCATCGCCTGCCTGTAAACTGTTCCTGCTCTTTCTCCATTTCCATAAACGGCACGTCCACCTGAATGCTAGTCTTCATCCTCACCCTAACACCAAATCTCCCACTTCCGTCTATAAAGCAATGACTAACCTCAGCCCTGGTCATTGCTTATCGCAGAAAACAGATGACTCACCTCCAAGCCTTTACCCTAGTGTCCTACCTGCTTCATTGACTCACCTTAGGGACACAGAAGTATAGGACAGCTGTTTCAATAGAGCAATCCATTTCCAGAATGTCAGATGAGGAAATCAAAAGTTGAGCCATTAATTAAGAGGGTGCTCACTCAAACTCATTTCGGCCCGTTTCAAATCCAACTGTTGCTTCCATGTGACTGTGGTAACCCCGCCCACTCCCTCCCATTCCTCACCCTCTGCTGCGCCCCTGTACCCATGTCAGGCTATGCTAGACTTTTCTGGGGCATGCTTGACTTGCATGGCATTCATTGCACATTTGCCTCCTTCCAAGAGATACAACTTGTAGTTGTATTAATTCATTTTAATAAAGATGGGAAATTTTAATAAAACTGATCATTATTAGCATAACTACTGCTAAGATAGCCCAGTGGGTACAGAGACTAAAATAAGATTTCTTTCTTTTTTTTTTTTTTCAGTCTTAAACAGATGCTTTATTGATACATTTAGAAAAGGAATTATAAAAGGAGAGGGTTGCACCCCTCACAACCTGACAACCCAGAGAGGCAACAGAAAGTTGCTTCTACACCTTTCTTACACATGTCCACACGTTCTCTGAAGAATCCAAGAAAAGCAAATATGCATGGGACATCAACATTGTGCCAAACACTTTCATTTCCCTCTGAGGGGAACACTGAATGAAATAAAGTTCCCTCAGCTTACAGACAAGGGGGCTAAGACTTGAGGAAGCTTAATAACTTCCCAAGGCCGTCCAGCGAATGAGCCAGGCTCCCAACCCCAGCATTCTGACCCCACAGCCAGGGCTGTGAACAGCTCTGCTGCGATCTGTTCTGTCCCATCTTATCAAGGTGAATAATACGGCTCCTGACCTTGAAGAGATCAGCTTGGTGGAAGAAAAGAGCTGTGAAGACATCAGTTACAGTATGTGAGGCCATCAGTAAGAACAGTGTGTTCTAGAATCACAGAAGTGGCAGCGATTAACTCTGTGTGGTGGGCATTTGGGGTGTTTCACCGAGAGAGAAGATGGAGTTTTTGCTAGATTTTGAGGAGGACATTCCTCTTCTCACCCCACAACCCCCAATTAAAAAAAATAGAGGGGTGTCCATTTAGCTCGGGTGGTTAGTGCGTGGGCTCATAACACCAAGGTTGCCGGTTTGATTCCCACATGGGCCAGTGAACTGCGCCCTCCACAACTAGATTGAAAAACGACTTGGCTTGGAGCTGATGGGTCTTGGAAAAACACACGGTTCCTCAATAAAAATTAAAGAAAAAAAAAAAAGAGAAAGCGAAAGAGGGTATTCCAAGCAGAGAGAACAGCATGTTCCCCTTCCCCCAATTCCCCAGCGCTGTTCCCATCCCCCAATTCCCCAATAAAAATCTTAAAAAAAAAAAAGTCAATATGAGGTCAGATCTGCCTATTCACAGATCATTCAACATAGAGAAGGATTTTTAAAAAAATAGTAGCCATCAGAATAAAATGAGAAGGGTTAACAGGATAAGAGAGGAGGACAAGTAGGCGATAGGCAGAAGCAGCACAGATTTTGACCCTTGCAAACCTACTCCTCCAGTTTTCAAGACCAGCTCACCCTTCTTGCTCTCTCAGCCCGTGGAATGGAGCCGTCTCATGTACAGAGTGGCTTCCTGTAGATCGTCTCAGAGACTTCTACGAAATTATTAAAGATTACTCATTTGAACTCATAGGAAGTTGTAAAATAGTAATGCCAATTGAAAATGCCTGCTCCTTGACCAAGGGGGAACCGCCCCTTGTGCTGTTACAGGCAGAATTGGGAATGGCTTGTGCTGCATCCCCGTTGGGTGGACAAAAGATATGAGCTCTGAAATCATGGCAGGCTGAGCTGGGTCCAAATGAACACAACACAACAGCCCAACACAAGTTGGGGTTGTGTCATCAGCTATCGGAAGTCACCAATCTCGGCAGCCACCGTTAGAACCTATCCGCCTCTTTTCGATTCTGCCCGTTACCAGCCACACTCGGGTCTTTCATCACTTGTGCCTCTGCCTGGGATGGGGAAACTCAGCCATCTGTCCTGTGGAATTTCCGGAGGCCACCTCCTCCCACAGCACTTCCCTGTCCCTTGTCCCCAAGCATACAGCCCTTGGAGACGGGATCTCATATTTGGATTTTATTTTTATTTTACAAGAATATAACATGCTGAAACAGGAAAAATGGGGGTTGAGTACATCATTCACATCTCGGAAACCAGCTCCAGTTGTCAACAATAAATAAATATTTAAACAGTGAGGAGATCCTGACAGGCGCCAAGAGGTTCCCAGCACGTTCAGAGGTAGAGCCTGGTGGAGAGAAGGGAGACAGGCTGCCAGCTCCTGTTGAGATTCTCTGGTCGAGGCAAGCTAAAGTTACAATAATAAATAACAGCAACAATACCAACGCTAACAAATAGAATATGCTATGACAAGCGTCACAAAACGCACAATACGTTATACTTAAATAATTTTCTCCTGGAGGAGCTTACAGTGCAGCGAGAACAGGGGTGATTTTGCTAGGGCACAAGGAGGCTGCCGGGTGCATTCCCCTCCCCAGCCTGGGCTCCTGGACAAGTTCCACCTCAGAATGTTTGTTCGGGGATGCCCCGAGGTGACAGGCAGGTTCTGATTTCCCCTGGTCCTGCTCTTCCAAGCAGCCTCTCCCCGCAGCTTTGCTCCCAGCTTCCGTGGTCTATCCAAGGGTCATTGTGGTCCCTGCCCCATCTCTCCCCACACTCCAGGAAGTGCACCTCACATCCACAGGAAGGAAACACGAGGCTCTGCCCCCCTCCCCATCTTGGGGTGCCTCTTTTTCCCTGTTCTCATACTCACACAAAAAATATCGGCTTAATTAAACAGGACTTGCGGGATTTGTTTCTTAGGATTGTTTTCTCCTTCTCTCCACACTGCCACGCATGAAAGCTGACTGGCCACTCACCCAGAAGCCCCACACCTTTCTCTTCAGGGGCCCCACATTCAAGGGCAGAACCTAACAGAGAGGACACATCCCAGCAAGAGGCCCTCAGCAGGCCCCGCTCACAGGTGGGCCCTGCTGCAAACACAGGGTCACGGCCCACCTGCGAGGTCCCCAAGAGCACCAAGATTAATTTCACATGAGCAAGATGGCTTCTTGGCAGAGCTCTCTACGGACATGGAAAGGGGCTCAAAGGCCAGTTTTTGAGGTATAAACATCTCACTTGGGGCAGGTATCACACTGGTTCCCTGGTCTTGACAAGGCTGTGAGGCTGGACAAGTGTTAAGAAGTACAAGCAAATGGGCCCTGGGGCCTCCCAGAGGAGGGCAAGGTGGACAGAATGGGAAGGGTCCACATCCATGTCTGCTTCCTGTGCCCTGGACAGTCCGGGAATCGGGAAAACAGGATGTGATCAGTCAACTGTTCAACAGGCAAAACAGCTGATCTGGTTGTCTTTTCCTGTCTCATTTTCACATCTCCCTTTATTCACAGCTTTCCCAAACCACCCTGGGATATTTCTTGCCCCTTTGAGAATGGCAAGAGCCAGTGATAACTCTTGCACCACCATTCCTTTCCCCAAAGAGCTCCACACAACCAGCATCTTCACCCCTTATCCAGAAGTCCTGGAGTTGGGGCGGGGGGGCCCCTCTCATGCATGAAATTCAGTCCCACAGTATCTGGAAGAGCGGCTGTTGCTTCCAAAACAAGAACAGCTTTTTCCTTCACTGTCCCTTCACTTCGCATGCTTTGCAGAACCTGCCTCCCACACAGGGGCGGCTGCCTCAGGGCTGGGTGACTCAATCTCTTTTTCCGGCTGGCTCCTCACTGCCATGAGGCTCAGGTGTATAAGGGCTCAGCCGGGCTGCAGTTGGACGGAGAGGCATTGATGGCCGAGGCTTGGCTAGCCAGGTCCTGGTAAGCAGACGATTTCAGGAAGCGTGGGTAGGAGTCCTTCTCCATCAGCGTGCGTGTCTTCCCCTGAGCCACATCGAAGCATGTGGCCGTGGCAGCCTGCAGGTTCGTCCTGGTCAGCTCCCTGGTCTCATGGTCTATGTTAACCTGTGGGAAGGAGGACAAGCACATGGGTGAGTGGGAATCAGGTGCTAGGGGTCTAGGAGGCAGAGGGAGGAATGATTCTCAGGTGGGGCAGTGGAAGGACCCCGGGATTCTGAACCAGGAATCTGGTTTCCTGAGTCCATCATTAACTGGCTTTCAACTCTGGGCCTGTCCCCACATCTGAAATGCTGGCAGGCTGAGCTGGGTCCAATCAACACAACAGTTTGATAGCAGTTGCTTAGAGGAAAAGTCGAAGTGCATGCTGGGCCCACAAGGCTACCTGGGCCCTCCCGTCGCCATTTTCCAGCCTCCTGGCCTCATCTCCTGCTCTCCCTCACTCCCCATGCTTCACGCAGGCCCACTTGCTGGTTTGTGGGGACGGCAGATGCCCTCTGGCCTTTGTACGTTCCTTTTCCTGTGCTAGAATGGTGTTTCCTCTCATAACACTCTCATGTCTCCGATTACATGTCGCCGTATCGGACAGCCCACCTCTCACTTCCTTTAATAAAATAGAAAGACCTCACCTCCTGTGCCCCTCCCCGCACTCTGGGACTTCCTCCCATATGCTGCTTTACGTTTATCAGAGGATGGGTCATCCCGTAGCATGTGTTTATTTGTTTCATTGGTTACTGTCCTCTCCCATTAGGGTAGAGGCTTTGTTTTGTCCACTGCTCTATCCCCAGTGACTACCACAGTGCCTGGCATGGAACTGGTGCTCAATAAATCTTCACAGAATGATGTGGAATGAGTAAAAGGGCTCAGAAAATAAAATAGAAAATAAAGATACAAAAACAAGGTATTCGTCAGCTCTCCACTAGGTGGCGCCATGTCCCTTGTTAAATGCAGGCACCAGGCAGCGGAGGCATGAGGGAAGGTTGAAAAACTCGCTGACCACAGACCTGCCTGTCTGAGGCAGGTCAGCCAGGGGACTGCGGCAGCTTACGCAGGTCCCTGTGATGACTTGTCTCCCTAGCTGTGTAAGTGTGTTGAGCCTCTAAAAAGGGCTTCGTCTACAACTGCGTGCAGGGACAGAGGCCAAAACACCTGCCAGCCCCTGTGACCCTACCGGGGAGTCTGAGGGTAACAGCACCCAGGGGTGGCATGAAGCCTGATTTTCGTAGGCTCCAGCCACAGAAGCCCACTCACCCTTGTGCCAAATAAGGCAACTCTACTTCTAAACTCAGTCCTTCGCCTGCTGACCTCCCACATCCCCAATTCTCAGCGGGGAAGGAGAAAGGCAGGGTCGGGAAGACCCACGGGCCGTATCTGGGCTCTGACCTCTCTGGGAGCTTCGCTGCGGATGAACTCCTCAAAGATCCTGTGAGCCCGGGAGGCCAGCTTGGTGGCTGAGCGGGTCTTCTTGAACTCCTCACAGGCCAGCCAGAACTCCAGGTTCTCCTCGCTGAACTCCGTCTTCAGGAAGGCATGGAAGGCAGCCACTCCATCTGGGGTTGGAGAGACAAAGGAAGAGACAGGTCAGACTGAGGGACAACAGGGAATAAAAGGAGAAAAGACAGCAGTTGTAGTTAATGGCTCTATTTTTAGGCGGTAATTTTCTCCCGCAAGGACCTGTCTTTATATTCTGAATAGAGGCTGGCACACTAGGAGATCATTATTATTATTGCTACTACTGTTATTTTGCCCACGCTTTCAGCATCCCTCAGGCTGGCTCCCAAGCACATGGTGCACCCATGTGCTATCCACATATAGACACAATAGGATTCAACTCACTTTTGCTGCTCAGTAGCAAGTCAAACGACTCTCTCCATCTCAGCACATCTTCTGAAAAGCTTCTGCAGAAAACAAAGTGTGGGGGGGGAGGGGTCGGTGAGGCAAGATTTTAATTTAAAGAAAAGAATCAACACAGTAATGCAGAGCACAAATCCTAGCCAGAACTCTGATGGGAGATGCGTAATTCACACAAAGATTAGTTTGGTGGTTACTGGAGCTGACTCTTCAGGTCCTTGGTTGGGTTTAAGGGAAACAGTGGTGTTTTTCTAGAGGACAATTCAGGAGCCAGACACCTTTTAGCCCTCAGTACGTATCTCTAAGACTGTCTCGTCACTGTCCAAAATTGTTTCTATCCCTCTGACTCTCAAAGTGCTGTTTTGTACACTTCCCCAAGGGAATAAGGGCTTCGTGAATGAAGGTTAGATCTACCCAGAAGCCCAGAACCTAGTGCAGCACTGAGCACAGTTGATGTTCAATATGAAACGGCTTCTAGGCAGGGTGCATGCTAACGGAAGTAGAGGCATTGATTAAAAACCTCAAGTGATTTTGGACACTGTCATAGCCCTGGGCTCATGTGCAGTGACACCTCCAGGTGGGAGAGTCTGGTATCTAGACATTCAGACCTCTGGGTACACTCATCTGTTGATAGACTTAGAACCCTGGAGCCACCCAACCAGTCACCCATGAGCCAAGCAGCCATAGCAGACCAGCAAGACACCCCACTAAACTCTCCAGGAAGGGGTCACAAGGTCCACCCTAGCATGTCCTGGTTTCTCCTTGCATTTCCCTTCTCATGACTCCTTTCCTTAATCTGCCTGTGTCCCCTAGGGGCCCTAGGCTGGTCAGCAGGACTTACCCCTCTTTGCAGTGTTTACTGCTCCATTCAAACTTGCGAACACTCCCGTTATCGGAGCCCAGGTCTGATTTGTGAAGAAAGATCCCCAGCCGTGTCTTGAACTCTTTGGCTCTGAAAGGCAAAGCATGAGAATGTAAGGATTCTCCATTTCCTTAGCCAGGGCAGAGAGGTTTATGGGGTCTCAGAAGAGGTCAGGTTCGTGCCACCCAAATTCCAGCCCCAAGGGCTCCTGGGAACCCCTGGCTCTTCCCAGGGCCTAAACTTTGCTTCTCTCCCTAGTACCATGAACCCAGAAACAATGAAAGCAACGTTTGAGCTGTGCCTCGGTAGGTCTTCCACTTTCTGACTTGACAGCACTTTAGACATGGGTTTGGTTCCACTTAAGTCACCCTGCTCTATCTTTGTGCCTGTTGATAAGCAGACGGCAGTTCAGCCCCCTCTAGGTTTTTTCATGAATACTTGTGGAGCTGTGCGGAAACTGATTCCTCATCTTTACCTTTTCCTTCCTGGCCACCAGCTCCAGCAAAGGTTTAAGGCAACTGAGAAGCTCCCTGGGGAGTGGGCACCTCCCTCATCTGCGGACTTGAAAAACATCTCCCTCCCTTCCCAGGGCCAGAGGAAGCCATGTCCCCCGATCTGGGCTGTAGAGTGAAAGCCAAGTGCTTAAGAAACTGGGGGAGACAGTTCTGCCGGGTAATGCCCACGTGGTCTTCAGCGGGTCACCTGAAAAGGGCTGCCCTTTGTCAGAGGCTAGGGAATTACAATAAGCAGTGGTCCATTTGTTTTTCCTTCTCCCTTCTCTTGGCCAATGGCTTCTCTAAGACCCAAAGGGGAGCATCTGAGCATGTGGCACCAAGTTGCCCCCTGCCTCTCCACTCAAGTCATTAGCATTCCATTATCCCGCCCACCCAGGGCCCCCAAGCCTGCCACTCCACTCCCTAAAGGTTGGTGGGACTTGGACTTCTTGCTCCGGATAGCGGGACAAGCTCCTCTTACCTCTCCAAGCAGGTGGTGGGGAAGGCGGACAAGGTCCGGCACATGGCTGCGGATGCGGTGCAGCACGTCGTGGGTAGGATAGTGATGGGCTCCAGTGGGCACTGCGAACGCGAGGAGGCAGAAGATTCGCGGCTACTGAAGCTCTTCCAAGCAGGTTGAATTTATCAGGCTGCGTGCGCGGCGATGGCGAGCCCGCGGCTTTTATTCCCTTGGAGGGGGAGGGGCGGCTGCCGCCGCCGACCAATCGGAGAGCGGGACTGCGCCCAGCCAAGGCAGAGGCGGGGCCAGGGAGCCTGACTGGGCTGGATGCCGGGCTCCTGGCTGCATCCCCCGCCCCCAACGCGCGTGCAACCCTCACACCGGGGGGCACACGGGGCTTGCTGGGCGGACGCTTGCACGCGGTGGGAGAAGCGGCAGAGAAGTCACATGGAGCTGAGATGCGTACACTCAGTGCAGTAGGAAAAATACCCCACCGGCCCCTAATAAAAGCTGGAAACCAATTCAGCGGTACAGGAGGATTTGCGTGAGGGCTGGAGGGTCTGTGAGGCACACACGGTGTCAATCACAAGCCGATTCTGAGTCTGTTTGGTCATGAAGGACAGGAGCACAGGGCAAGACAGCATCGTGATTATCCTGAGAACTACCATTTGCTGTGCGGCTACTCGAAGGCCATGGGCTAAGTAAGCTTTTCATCATCTCATCATCACCTCCGTTTTATAGATGAGGAAACTGAGGCCAAAAGTTAGGGACTTGCCCACATCACAGAGTTGAAAATAGCAGACACGTGGTGGGAGATGGGGGCTTGATTGAGCATCTACCATGTATCAGGCAGTTTTACTAAGACTTAGGTTAAATAGCTTCCATGGAGTTACACAGTAAGTGTTGCACCAGAATTCAAATATGAATTTACCATGCTTTTTCCACCGCCTCCCCCCCCCAAAAAAAAAAGATAGAATCCCACCATCTCTGTAATAGACAAATGATCCTGGGTATAAGCAGCTGCAGTTCAGTGTCTTCACCTCCTTGCCTCTCTCCTCACCTTCCCATTAAGGCCTTGCCCCTCAGCTCCCCACTGCAATTGCTATTAAAAGGGTGCAGGCGAGTGCAGAATCTAGAGTCAGATGCGCGTTTCAAATCCTGGCTCTGCCACTTACAAAGGGAGACCTCAGGCCGGCTCGTTAACCTTTCCGTGCCTCGTTTTTTCCTTGTCTCTAAAATGAGGACATGATACATTTACTTCATAACGTGGTTGTGAGGTCTAAATAAGCTCATTCTTAGTTTTAGCTCCCAGGAAAACAGGAAACTCGGTTCCTCTGAGGCAGAGATTTGCTGGGGGGAGTTCTAGGAACTGAGAGGGAGTTAAGGGAGCTAGGTTGGGCAGGGAGAGGAGGTGAATGCCGTGGGTAGGTAGGACTGTCCTTGGAGCCATGCCCCATTGAAGCAAGGGGCAGGCTTTTGTACCCCACATCAACCTTTCATTGAATGCAGTTGCCCCAAGAAGATGGCCTCATCTTAAGCAAGACAACTCTCCCTCTGTTGAGGGCAACTCCTGGAGAGAGACCGCACTGTGAGCCTACAGCAGACAACACGATGGGCGTGGGGGGTGGGGGCCTTGGTCCCAAGGAGGGGATCTGGGTGGCATGCCACCAAACCTGCAACAACAGGCTCTAAGAACAGTGCCCAACATATATATAGTCAGCACTCAGGAAATGTTAGCTCTCAGTTTACTCAACACAGGGATTGCTGACAATACAGAAAAGTAACCGGTTTTATGTAGCTCTTGGAGTTTAGGTTTTTATTTCATAAGGGGGCATCTGAGGTTGCGATTTCTCAGCAAGACCTGGATAAAGAGTCAGGAAAGAGAGAAAAGAGCAGATGAGGTTCCCCACCTGAGAGAGCTCAGTGAGAAGGCCCAGAGAAGCGGGCCAAGGAAGTAAATGGAGAAACCACAGAAAGGTGGGAGGCCCGGGAGGCCCCGGGAGATGGTCGTTGAGGCACTCTAAGAGCAAAAGAGGCTCAAATCAGAACAATGTGGGGGTTCACTGGTTGAAGCAGATTCCCTCATAAAGCCAGGCTGGCGGAAGATGACCTAGTGAGTCAAAATGTAATGCCCTCTGAAGAGGCAGAGCCGAGCCCTCCCCTAACCTCCGGGAGGGTGAGGGGGTTGGTTAGTGGAGCTCAGGGGCAGGCAGAGCGGCAGCTCACACTGGGGGCAGCACCATCTCAGCTGCCAGCACCCCACCCTCACCCCGGTCTCACAGACCTAGGCTCTTGTTTGTTCTCCCCTTTCCTCAAGTCCAGGGCCAGAGTGGTGTGGGGCAAGGGGATGGACAAGGGTTAGGACGGGGCGATGGAAGATGTCTTTCGGAGCGCCTATGTCTCAGCACAACGCCTTTGTCCCCAGCCCGTCAGCTGGACGTTTTGCTGGAGGGCTTTGTCAGCTGAGATGACAGTTGTTGTTTCACCTGGTGCTGCTCAAGCCCGAGGGCTGGCTTTTATTATGCAGCTGCCAGGTGGGCGTGTGGGTGGTGTTTGGGACAGCTTCGCTTCAAGTGACAAAAACGAGTTTATGGGTAGATGGAACCCCAGCCTGGCCCTGGGTAGCACCAAGTAGGAAGGAGCCGGGACGTGGCCACATGACAACAATAACAGTGATCCTGCAGACACCCTCCTCAAACCTTCCTGTCCTTTCTGCTTCCCAGTGACGAGGCCAGAGGAGGTTTCTAATTTCCATCCTGCAGATGACAGCCCAGCAGTGCCCAGGGCACCCTTAGCTAAGTGCTCTGAAACTGAAAACAGCTGAAACCTGGGCCCCTGGACCTCCAGGTCCCCGAGCTTGGGCTTTCTCCAATTCCACAAAGAAAGCAGAAGAGACGAAGGGAAGGATGCTTGGGGTGCAAACAGGCAAATCCAACGTGAGAGCACGGAGCTCCCTGCTCAAGATGAACAGTCATCTCTGAGTTCAACCTGCTTCCTAGTTGCCATCGTTACCTCTTCAGGTTCCTGGCAGAAACTTTTTGAAGTCCACAATTTATCCCAAATTCTCTTCCCGGCAGGTAGGTCGGTTCATAACTGCAATTTTGGTAATGACTCGACAGTTGCTGTAAATCCAGCAGGTTGAGCTCACCTGTGACTCAAACTGGCTTTGACAGAACCTGACCTAGTTTCTAACGAGCACCCCCAGTGCAGCTGCATTCCCTTTCATGGGAGGTGTGGGGGCACAGCCCTGTGGCCTGGGTCATCTGGGATCATGTCCTTCAGCGTCTCTGACACTCAGCATCAGCCTTTCCACCAAGGCAGAAGTCTAGATGGGACCCTGGCTGAAAATGGCTAGGGGAAATGAAAATGCATCCTCGATTTCTGAATCAGCGCAGACCATCCCTACAGTGGTCTGGATCTTCTAAATTCAATCATCAGCCTACCAATAAATACTTATAAAGAATTTACTATGTTCCCAAGTCAGTGAGGAAGCAACAAGTTTTAAAGCTCTTTCTTACCTTCATTAACCTTACAATCCAGCTGAGAAAACAGAAGGTGAAAGGGAACCATAGCCTGGCATTACACCATGTGCAGGGAAAGGAAGAGATCAGACAGGGTCGGTGGTGTTAAGAAAGAAACGAGAGGATCTGGGAGCCACGGAAGACGGCCACAGCATGCTGGACATTGGGGGTTGGGGGGGGCATTCTTCAAGGGTGCAGAAGGATTTAGGGATTCCTGACACAGATGGAGGCACTTAGGCTTGCAGGGTACACAACTGGATGCCAGTTTTAGGTTTAGAGACATAAAAACAGTTCATATCCCAAGAAGGCTGGGTGAGGAGGGAGAGATGACTTCCTGAAGATGTGAAACAGACGGTCTCTGGAGGCCATGTACCTGCTGGGTTTGACAAAACCCTGGGTGCCCTCCCCTTCTAGGCAGGGGAAGTTGGGCGAGTTCAGCCTGGATGTAGGAAATGACTGCTTTCCCCCTGATTATCCTTTAGGGCATCCGGGAGAGCGGTGCTATTCCTCTCTGCTTTCTTCACCTCTTCCTTCCCTCCCTCCCTCCCTTCTGGGCAGAGTTTTGAAGGGATGGGAGGGTGGGAGGCCTGCTTGTCTCTACCCAACCTGGCTGATGGACCCCTGGCTTCCAAGGCAGAGCAGTCTCAGTCACT